CTTCCTCAATAAATACCTGAAGCAAGCAAGAGAAATCCACACTTGAGCCGATCTGCCCGCCGCTGCAGACCTGAGCTCTACCTCTGCTTATTCAGGTTAGTCACACTGAGCGCAGCAGCGACTACGCTGGTATTCATGTCCGTCAACTTACTGACTCGTATAACGAAATATTAAAAATATTCCGTTTCATTTCGCGTCTTTCGGCTTGCCTTTTATGCATAGTGAAAATGAAATTGGCATGAAAAGATATGCTAGACCGCATGAACTTCTGATGATTCCTACGTTTTCTCAATCGTTGTTATTTACTATATATTTTGTGTCTGCACATCCCTGATAATGTCACTTCGATTCCATGTAAGCTTTTTGTTAACTAGGCTACTGCAATCGAATATGAATTATTACATTTTTCTTAAACACCTAATATATTGAAGCGAAGGTTATAACTTATGTTATAGAAAGATCTCTTGCCCAGAATGAATGTATGAGCTGAATTGAAGAAATTACTTTCTGGTTTCCTATGCTCTGTTCATGTCCATACGTTTTGGAATATATCCAAAGTAATTCGCTATCCTGTTGCATTTATAATGTATTCCAAACATACCAATATGCCTCACACATAAAATATATATATATATCATTGTCATTATTATCGTTTTCACTGATTGCGTGAATGCGACTGAATATAGGCCTTTTTGTAGCGTCCCGAAACCCTTAATACTTTGATACATGTTTGCCCTTTATGCACACATTCAGCGTAACCTCATATAGAGATTTATTTTTTCATGCTCATTCTACATGGGTAAAATTAGCTTAACCAAGACGCTCACTTAAACAGCGTAAGAATTTACAATGCGTCCAAGTCATATGACTTAGTATTGACTTCGGTGGGAGGAATTTCTTCAAAATTATTCTGTATCTTTAAGGTATAACCTTTTTTGAAGTCCCAGAGCGTAGACTTTGATCTGTATATTATCTGTATTATTATCTGTATATTCAGTGTGCCATATCTGCATCATATCAGATCCACTTCAGTGGTCTCTCTTTTTCCTTAAACCCAAAGTCATTTTCTTGTTTTTTTAATAAGAAAGATGTAAATTGCAAGAAGCTAAAGCAGGAGATTTCAAGTTCGAGTCAACCAGCTGTTCGCTAATTCCCAAACATCAGTCACTCGCCAGCTTCACTAGACTCCATGGGCAAACAGGGCCATGCCAGTCAGTCATAACTGAAGAGGTTGAATTTGGTTAGCAGATAGCACTTATTTCCTAGAAATTTAGCTATTCATGAAATTGAAAGATCTGCAGAAGGCCTCAGTAGGAGTAAACCTTTATGAACCTGAAGGGGGACTGCTGTGAGATAGAGAATTTCTCACCATGCAAATTTGGTTACCCCTAAAAGGCAAATTAATTCGGATTCCAGAATAATTGTTTCAGTATAGTTGTTTATTCATAGAAGGTAGATCAGAGTGACTAACAGTCTATATCAAGGCACAGGGAAGGGAGGTAACCTAGCAGAGGAAGCAAGTTATGCAAAAAGTGTGAGGTTTTCATCTGTTATTTCTATGCCTTAATTGCCTCACTCACAATGAGTTGAGCAGAGCAAGTCTAAGTAACTTCCCTGGATCCTAATAGACAGCATAACAAGAGAGGTGTTATAGGACCAAAAGGGGCCATAACAAAATTAATATTCAGTATCTGATCCCATTGGTTAACCTAGCTTTTTAGTGATTTCTTCAAATAACTTCAAACTCTAAAGGGGCCTGATGCATTGCACCTACCACTTTACAAAGTTTTAATAAAACACAATGCAAATTTTACTGATCATAAGAGGAAATAGGGACGTTATTTTATTTACTGGAAAAAGGCAAAATACAACTGAGTGAGTCCCCAGAGGTATCCAGTTCTTTGCCGTAATTAGAGAAAGTAGGGCACCGAAAGTCGGGTTCCTTGCTGATGGTGTTATAGGAGACATAAACAAAGTAGCAATCAGTGAGGCGTATATGGACTGTTTTGAATGTTCTTACTTCCCCTCTGGCTTTGGACGCTGTTATATCACTCTCTAAACAGTTAGAAAGGCGAACACTGTGATTAGCACCCAGCACTTGCACAGCAGAAAACTATATTTGGTACTATCATCATTTTACATTATCAATTCACGATCCACGCCCAGAGTCCTGAATCGCTGCGTTGCTGCTTAAGACACCAGGATGCAGTGCGTTGCGGTCTTTCCAAAGGTGGCGTGGATTCTTCTCGCCTTGGTAACGCAGAACAGTTCTTTTGCTCTTTTGCATCTTGAATAATCAAGTGGTTGATCAAGCTAATAGAAATTTTTAAATCCCATAATGTCAAGACACAGTGTTTGATTTTGGAGTTTTGTATAGTATGCATATTGTAGCTGTATATTGTATACTGTACGAGTATATATCAAGTCGTTCATATCGTTCCTCTTCAGTGTTCGTGCAGTGTCAACAATGTTTCCGGCGCTGAAGGAAAAACTCGACAAG